ATATATACTTTTTAATTCGTTTCAGCATCTCCACGTACGGATACTTTGTCGAAGCCAAGAATTCGTAAATGTACGTCTCTTAAAGCTAAACCTTTCGCTGTAAAAAAGGCTGCTTTATCCGCCACACCTTCTGGAAGAGTCGAATCTTTGGCTAAACCAAGGGAACCCTTAAGTCCTGTCGAGAAAAAACCACCGCGAGAGAAAGACAAATATGGAAGACCAATATTTGAAATGCCTGTACGATAATTTATGATACAAACTCGTTCGAATCTAAATTTTTCTTTTAACTTGTTAAATGCATTTGTCGACTTTTGTTTGCAGGTTTACGGAAAAGTGTTACCGAAAACGAAACCGTACAAGATGGGCGAATGTCCAGACGACAAAGAAAAGAAGAAACCCGTTATCAAAAAACGTCCGATTGATCCAATTGCTTACGCATCAAGCATCGATCCTTGTATCGAGCCGGAATTGGCGAAAAAGCAAAAGATTGAAAGGAAAAGAGCCGAGAAAATAGCGAAAAAGAAGAAGATAATAAGAAAGGAAAAACCGAAGAAAAAATTAAAAAAGCCTCCCGAAAAGGTAGAAGATAAAAAAGATAAAAAGGACGAACCAAAAGTAAAAGAAATAGAGCCGATAAAGGAGGAGGAGAAAGAGACGGTGGAAAAGGAGGAAGAGGAGGAGGAGAAAGAGACGGTGGAAAAGGAGGAAGAGAAGGAGGAGGAGGAATAAGAATGAAAATAAGAAATTTAAATAATTTAGAATATAAATCATTCGAATCCATGTCCAATCATTGATATGAAAAAAAGAAATTATAAGTATTTATAATAGAAAAAGAAAAAAAAAAGAAAAAAAGAAATAAAAAGAAAATAAAGAAGAAAAGCATTTAATGGTATATAAAATTTTTGCAGTTTCTTTTTGCATATATATTTGTTTTACAAATGCAATGATGTGTGATTTCAAATTGTAAATACAACAAAAATATGTTTATCATAGAATTCTTAAAAATATTGACGTTACTATTCTTACATATCTTCTTCTGATATATATACGAATGTTACGTAACTTTATAACAACACGATATGTATATATAGAAAAATAAAGTTTACAATAAATAAGGAAAATTGGTTTGTAACTATAGTTATTATCGTACTAATTAGAAATATTTAACGATTACACATTGTTGCAATTTGCAATATTTTTTTTTCTTTTGTTAACATTATCTATCTAAAAATTTTACTTGTATCGATTTAATTACGAAATATACATAAATGAATTCGTTATTTCGAATATTGCCATTGTTTAGTTTATTGTGAAAGCATCAAATATATTAACATAATTATGTATGTATATACTTATTTATTTTTCAATTTTTTTCGGTTTTGAAAAAACATTCTATTTTACATTTTTATCACCTTCATTTTTCCATTATATACTTATATTTATACTGATGATGAATTACCGAGTAGAATTTTACACGAAAAAATAAATCGAAAATAGAGTAAAATTCTTTCTCGAGTTTTCGAGTAAATTAAGTTTGAAGTACAAGTAAAAAATGCAGAATAAAGTTTTATTCTTCTTTTTTTTTAAATTAATGAATTTAGTTCTTTCTCTATGTATAGCTAAATAAATTTTTCTTTTTCTATCATTTTTTATTCCTTATTCTTTTTCTCATTATTTGATTTTTCTACTACTCTTTTTATCTCATATTCTGTCTGTTTCTATGCAATCTTCCAATAAGTGCTTCAAGATATCCTATTTTCATCCAATATTATTATTATTTTCTTTCATATTATTGAATAAGATGATTAATGTATCGTTTTTTTTTTCCTCGAATCAATATAATATTTCTTTCCTCATTACGATATTCAGTGTTTGTTGAACATTTGCTACGTAAACAACTTAGCTTATTGATTTAAAAAAAAAGATAAAAAAAATTAATTTTTATCGATGAATAAATACTCGTGAAAAAGAAAACAATTGTCGCGTGACGAAATGAGGATATCGTGCGTAATCGCGTTTTATATCATTAGCATCGGTAACGTTCTATATTGTTCTATATCCGCATATCCGGAAGCGACACCGCCAATTGGAAAAATCCGCGGCTCCATTTTGACTTCAAGGCTTGGAAAAAAGATTTATTCCTTCCGCGGTGTGAGATATGCCGAACCTCCCACAGAACGACGCCGTTTTCAGGTGAATTTTTCTCATTTTTCCTCCTCAATTATAATTCTATTAATTCTGGAAAGATACTCGGCGCATGGACATTTGTCAAACTTATCGTCAACCTTCAACCATGGGAACTTCTTATGTTTCCTTTTATTACACGAATATTTATGGGTGGAAGATTCATTTGGTTGGGAATAATTCTAGCAATTTTCCCACAGATTGCTACGCCACTGGCAGATTGGAACGATGTTTACGATGCTTCGAACGAAGGTCCAGGATGTCCAAATTTGGATCGAACGAATTTCAAATTCGAGGATTGTTTGCGTTTAAATGTGTATACTGGAAAAGTTATGTTTTTGTTATCTTCATATCTAAATTATTACATATTAATTAAGCAAGATATATATACGCGCAATTATAAGCTTTTATTTTTCAACATTATCGTCTTCATTATTAGTATTTGAATTATGTAAATTTTATACACGTGTTCTATTTTTTTGAAACATTAATTATAATAATAGAACATCATAGTCTGAATAACAAGATATTCAAAACAAAATAACACGTATGCTAAATAATTTTCCATGTGATACTATTTACTCTATACAGATTATATTTAATTCTTTAATTAAATATAATTCCAAAAAAACATTGTAGATGTCGCCATCTGTCACGTTTCTAAAATATATGATCGTTACAGCTTCCATCAAAAGACGAGAATGTGACAAGGCCGGTATTAGTATTTTTTCATCCGGGCGGATTTTATTTCTTCTCCGGTCAAAGTTACCTGTTTGGTCCTCAATATTTATTAGATCATGATATCGTTTTGGTCACCGTGAATTTTCGTCTCGGTTCATTAGGTATAATCTCAACATCTAGAAAATACAAATGGAAAATTAAACTTTAAACTTTAAACTTACTCGTTTCAAATATAATATTCACTCAGGTTTCATAAGTACGGGGGACTCACACGCTCCAGGGAATCTAGGTTTGAAAGATCAGGTGTTGGCGTTACGTTGGGTTCGAAGGAACATCGCTGCTTTCGGAGGGAATCCAAACTCCGTCACCATTAGCGGTTGCAGCGTTGGAGGTTTGAGCGTCTGGCTGCACATGGTGTCGCCCATGTCGAAGAATCTGTTCCACAGAGCCATTGTGATGAGTGGATCGCTTTTAAACGCGGAACCTTTCCCGACTCAGCAAATCGATCTCGCGAGGAAACAAGCGAAACTTTTAAATTGTCCCAGCGACAATTCCGAAGATATGTTGACGTGTCTGAGATCGAGACCAGTTGCCAACTTTACCGACACCATGAGCGAATTTTTCGTTGGTTTACGAACGAACTTTTTTTTGTCTCTTTATTCAGCTTTGATTCAAATTTGGAAATAGAAAATTCTGTTCGTCCTTCTAGGAATGGAACAAAGATCCAATTCTGATCTGGAAACCTGTCGTGGAACCGAATATTCCCGGGGTAGAAAGATTTCTACCGGCTCAACCGGTCGAGCTTATAAGGCGAGGAAAGTTCCACAAAGTTCCAGCCATATTTGGAATAACAAGGGACGAATTCGGGGGAGTGGTTGTCGGTAGATCGAGCGATTTTTTAATATAATTTGATAAAAAAGATTTATTTACATTGTGATATTGTCTTGCATCGTTCTTTCCAGCGTTTGAGAATAACACAAGGGCGGGGAACGATATGTATCGCGATATGAACGAGAATTGGTATCGAATTGCACCGATTAGTTTTATGTACGAGCGTAATACGTCACGATCGCAACGAATCAGCGAGGAACTGCGAAAATTTTACTTCGAAGAGGAGGCAATCGATTCTGCTCGCAGAGATGGTCTTGCGCGTGTAAATGAATTAATTAAAAATAATAATAATAATAATCTATTCATCACATCATCTATTGATCATCGATAACCGATTATTGATTTGTAGATCTACGAGGACAGTATAATCAAATTTCCTCAATATCGTGGGGCAAAATTGATAGCTGAAAACTCTCCAGCTCCCGTGTATTTCTACATGTTTACTTATCAAGGACGTTTCAGCTTCTCCATGTGGAATTCTACGACGCCGTATGGTAAGCTCGCTTAGACCAGTTTTCTGATCGTCTTTCTATCTATTGTTTCTAATCCTAGGTATCGAGCATCAAGACGATTTGCAATATCTGTTTTACATGGAAAAGATCTTTCCATATTTCCACGAATTCACGCCTGAAAAGCGGATGGTGGAATTGTACACGTCTATGTGGGCGAGCTTCATGGAAAATGGTGAACCTGTTCCAAATAATAACGAGGCGTTTAAAGGCGTAACGTGGGACAGGTTCGTGCAGAACAATTATCTGGAGATCAACTTGAATTCTAGTATGAAAACTGGTTTATACTCCGATAGAATGAAGAAATGGGAAAACCTATTCCCATTATCTTTAATGTCAGAGGTTTCGAGGAAATAAATCCGTATTCGCGGATTTTTTTTCTTTTTGCATCTTATACTGTTAATACTATTCTGTTAGCATTGAACATTGAAAGATATACAGAATATCATATCGAAATCATGGTACAAGGAATAAGAACGATCATTTGTTCGTTTAAAGTTTCGTTTTCGAGTAAATCAAGTTTGAAAATAAATTGAATCAGTGAAAATTAATTTTTAAACGAAAAAAAATTATTCTATGAATCTTGTTCATTTTCAAACTTGAACTTTTATTTTAAACTTATTTTAAACTTTGGAAGCTTTTAATGAAAAAAAAACTTTTTCTTTTCTTCCCAATCAAAATCTATTGCTAACTTTACCAAGTTAATGAGTTTTTTTATAAATTTATGATTAAATAAAATTATTCCTTTTCATCGATTCGAAAGATTGAAATGTTCATCATTATTTAGCCACGTTTGATCCTTGCAACTGGATATTTCTCTGTATATTTTCGTTTTATAATTTTTTATACGTTTCCAAGTATGTAAAGATATCCAAAGAATGGACGTATAAATTGAAAAATGAGAAATAGATGAAAGTAGTTGATCGATTGTTTGCATAACGATTAATAAACATTACAATTCTTTCATAGCACGGTATTTTAAATACACGATACAAAAATTAACGATAATCTATAACACGATATTTTTGTTAATAAACATCGTTGATAAATTTGGAGAATCTTCGCATGGAATGGATATTTCCATTAAATTTTTGTCGATATATCCGATTTTTGATTATATTCACATTAATTTGTATTAATTATAAATTTCGATACTAGTTAATCGTGTTTTAGAAGAGTTGACTATACAAATATTTATCAGTATACTTCAAAATATTTTCTTTTGTTTAAAAATGTTAAAGATTTGAATCACAAAAGAAAAAAAAATACTTTAATATGATAATTTCACGTGTATATCAACAATTTTTTATCGGAATATGTTTATAGATATTAATATATTTATAGATTTTCTTAATATTTTTTATACCACTTAAATTATCATTATTATATTTGTAATACGCTGATAAAATGAAATAACAAACGAGTGTTTATGTTATTCTTACATAAATTAATCAATATATACATTAATCGATCGACTTTTATTTCCCAATGAAAAATATATGTATCTTTATGATTTTGAACGTGATCTTCTTTAAACGGCAAATAAAGAACGTTCTTGTGCAAGAATATAAGAGATAATATTCCTTCCTTAAAGGTAATTGGATTTCCCCACTTATTTTCCTCGTAGCGCTCTTATAAATTCCTCGATTTTGCCATTACGTCCGCTATTATTCGCGTGAACACGGTTTATACCGGTTCATCAGATCGACTCAAACTACATATCAAGGTTCTCTTCACTTGAAAAGAAGAGATATAACAGGATCAGGCCTCCTTTCTTTCAAAATGAGCAATAACATTCTGATATTATTTCTTTGCATCGTTGGCGCTGTTATCGCGTGCGAATGTTCGACGGATATTGAACAGCCATTGGTCACAGCCCCGATCGGGAAAATTCGCGGTTCAGTTTTCACCTCGAGGCATGGAAGGAAGATTTATTCGTTCCGTGGAGTGAGATATGGCGAACCACCTGTTGGAAAGCAACGTTTTCAAGTACGTATTTTGAATTCTAAACAACATTTTCTTCTTTTTTTTTTTTTTACGTATCGTTAATTTGTGCGCGAAATATGTATAACGAAAACGTGTAAACATACTTAAAGATACAATATTTACAATATTTTACGACAGAATAATACAAAAGAATACAGATCGAAGAATATAAAAATAGAATAAAAACGTTGAAGATATTTTTATCCGGATAATATTATGAGCTTATAAATATTATTTTAAATATTAAAAACGTACAATTTTTTCAAAATACCAAAAAAGTTTGAGCTTCTTAAAAGAAAGTTTCGTTTAATCTTAAAAATCCTTGCTTATTTTTCCTTTCTAATTTTTTGGTTTCGCATTAAAGCCTCCAATCCCAGCGGCGGATTGGCAAAACGTGTTCGATGCCACCGAGGAAGGACCTAGTTGCCCTCATCCCGATGGCGTGTTGCAAGCGGAGGATTGCCTACGTTTAAACGTGTACACCACCAAGGTAAACATCACCATAACGATCGATATCTAAACAAAATTTCAAATTTGCGATCAATCTTTCGTTAAATTTCATTATTATTCTTTTTTCTAGCTACCATGCGAGAACAAAAATACAAAGAGACCGGTTATGATATTCATACATCCCGGTGGCTTTACCAGTTTCTCGGGCCAAAGTTCAATTTTCGGGCCGCAATATCTGCTCGACAAAGACATCGTGTTGGTTACGATCAACTATCGTCTCGGTGCATTGGGTGAATAATCATCGTTTTACAATCATTGCACGAGCGAAATTAATTAAATTTAACCCTTTGCATTCGTATGTTTTAGTCGCCCATCCTTCACTAATGTAAATATATGTATGATGAGATTCTAGGGACTTTTGTCGCTCAATCGGTAACTTCTTAGAAACTTTTCGCTTCTACGGCGGCTATAGTCTATATAACTATAGTTATATGACTATAACTATAACTAGGAGACTATAGCTCTGCATAAGATGCCGCGTATCATCGATATTTTCATCATCAATTTTTATTTTTCAATAAACACCGTCAAAGCAATTCGAAAGGATTAAATATAAATACGAGCTCAAAGAGTTAAATTATTATTACTTAAACTACCACCGTTTATTAAAATTTGTTCGAAATTTCGTTTCAGGTTTCTTGAACACCGGGGACAGTTGGGCGCCGGGCAACATGGGGCTGAAGGATCAGGTGGAGGCGTTCAGATGGGTCCGACGGAACATCGCCGCGTTCGGCGGCGATCCGAATTCCGTCACGCTGTGCGGTTACAGCGCGGGAAGCTACAGCATAATGTTGCACATGGTCTCTCCCATGTCGAAGAATTTGTTCCACAGAGCCATCTCGATGAGCGCCTCGGCCATCAAACCGGAAGTTTACACGGGTGTCGCGCAGCACGGGCAGAAGGAGCTGGTGCAGAGGCAGGCCCGGCTGTTGAATTGTCCCACCGATTCCACGCCCTCCATGTTGAACTGTTTGCTCGAGAAGCCCGTGGAAAACTTCACGAACACGTTGGCCAACTTGACGGTACGTTTCGTTTCACAAACGAAAAAAAAATAAAAAGCACTTGGAGCTATCTCCTTTTTTCCTTTTCACGGATAGGATTGGTACGGAAATCCGATTCTACTTTGGACGCCGGCCGTGGAGCCCGAGGTCGCAGGCGTCGAAAGATTCCTGGCCGAGCAACCGTACGACTCGATCGTGCAGGGGAAATTCCACCAAGTTCCTTACATCCTTGGAGTCACGGAGCACGAGTTTGCCGGTGTAGCCGCGCGTAAGTGATACTCTCGCCTATTTGTTGCGTCAGGCACGCGTTTTATCGGATGATGTTACAGTGTACGAGAGGAACGACAAGGTGGACAACGGATCTTTGTATCGAGAGGTGAACAGCAATTGGAGCACCGTCGCCCCCATATTTTGCATGTACGAACGCGACACGCCACGATCGAATTACATAAGCAGGCAATTGCGACAATTTTATTTCAAAGACGAGGCGATCGGCCAGCAGACTCTCCTCCAACTTGGCAAAGTTCGTATCCTTTTTTTTTTCATTTTATTAAATTATTAATCCTTTCGCTACGAGCCAAAAATGTGCTCGAGAAAGATCGTCAGCCGATGTTATGTTTACGCCTCGCAATTCGAGTTGCTTTGACGGTGTTTATTGGAAAAGGAAAATTGATGATGAAAACAAGATAGAGCGACTATAGTACCTGGCATCTTATGCAGACTATATCGACCATAGTATCTTGGTGACATCTTATGCAGAGCGACTATATTAAGCAGAGCGTAGTACCTCAGTGGCATCTTATGCAGAGCAATTATAATTGCCTATAGTATCTCATTAGTATTTTATGTGAGCGACTATATTAAACAGAGTGACTATATCGACCATAGTATCTTGGTGGCATCTTATGCAGAGTGACTATAGTCGCTCATAGTGTCCCAGTGGCATTTTGTGCAGAACGATTATAGTCGCTCAGTGGCTTCTTATGTAGAGTGACTATAGTTGCCAATAGTACCTCAGTGGCTTCTTATGTACGACTATAGGTGCCCATAGTACCTCAATGGTATCTTATGTAGAGCGACTATAATCGCCCATAGTAGCTCAATGACTGACATCTTATGCAGAGTGACTATAGTCACCCATAGTACCTCAATAGTATTTTATGTAAGCGATTATATTAAGCAGAGCGACTATAATCGCTCATAGTACCTCAATGAGTGGCATCTTATGCAGAACTATTATAGTCGCCCATAGTACCTCAGTGGTACCTTATGTAGAGCGACTATAATATAGTAACTCAATGGCTGACATCTTATGCAGAGTGACTATAGTCACCCATAGTACCTCAATAGTATTTTATGTAAGCGATTATATTAAGCAGAGCGACTATAATCGCTCATAGTACCTCAATGAGTGGCATCTTATGCAGAACTATTATAGTCGCCCATAGTACCTCAGTGGTACCTTATGCAGAGCGATTATAGTCGCCTATAATATCTGAGTGACTGGCATCTTATGCAGAGCGACGTAGTGGCGAAAGGAGAAGACAGGTTAAGGAAAAATATATATATATATATATATATATAAAATATTTGGCAGGTATACGGCGATTGCATAACCATATTCCCCATGTATCGAGCGGTTAAACTGTTCGCCTCGAACTCGAGAGAGCCGGTTTACTTTTATAAATTCACGTACGAGGGACGATTCGGTTTCTACAGATGGAGCAACGAAACTGCATACAGTAAGTTTTCATCTGAAAGGCTAAAATTTTATTCACGTTGGAAATTTTTAAAATTGTTTTCATCTCCTCATACTTCAGATCCGTCGCACCACGACGATTTGCAGTACCTGTTTCACGCGAAACAATTCCCGTTCCTCCCGTATCTGGGGGACGACGCGCCGGAATCTCCTATGGTGGAGCTTTACACGAGCATGTGGTCCAATTTCGTGATAAACGGCGAGCCGATCCCGAGGAACGATAACAGATTCAGAAACGTGTCGTGGGACACGTTCGTCCCCTCGAAAACGAATTACCTGCAGATCGATCTTCGCCCGAGCATGAAGACCGAATTCTTCCCTGAAAGGATGCGGGTGTGGGAAAGATTATTCCCACTGCCATCCCGAACCACGAAAGGAGCGAAGCATTGAACGCACTCTTTTTCCTTCTTTTTTGTATTTACATATCAACCTCGAATTCGACAAGATTTATTATTATTAATTATCATATTAATTCGTTGGAAAAATTATTGAACGATAAACGATTATAACATGATGAAACATCTTTATTGTTACAAACAAACACTTTTTCTTCGTCCGATTGATTAATTTCTCTACCAAATGATTATTAGATAGTCGTCGAATCACAAGGAGTTCTTTCTCGCATGAGTACGTGTATTGCGTGTATAAAAAAG